AATCACGCAAGATTTTTAGTTATTAATGAAAAAAGATTGTATTATCGCGCACAAAATCGTGTAACAATTTTCTTTAATTAATAATTAAAAATCTATTTGATTATTTGCAGAATGGTAGAGGACTTTTTTGCTTAGTTTAACCTAATGTACAAACGTACGATGGCAGACGTCGCCTCTACAGCTCATTTACTTTATAAGTAACACTAGTAATTTACCTTATTATACGTGATCATTCACACAAATATTCTACAATTAATAGGAATTGTGATATCGAGCTGGGACACTCGGTATATTCAAAATGTATATTAAAAAATCACTACAACTTTTTAAATCTTTTTTTAAATTAATCGTTAATAAATTTCAAAGAAAATTGTCGAGCTTGATTTTTAAAAAAGGTCTTCTAAAATGTTTAATATTAATAACAATCTGAAAATTTTTATTAATTAGAAGTTAAATTAGAAGAATGTTATTGTTAAAGTTACTTTTGCTATCTCACATAAGAGTTTTTGGGGTCACTAAATACGAATTTGATGTTAGAATTAAGATTTGTCTATTAGCAGCTGTTAATCTCGCTGTCAACTTAAAAAAATGTATGCTTTTTAGAGAGAGTAAAACCACATTTATTTTGGAGGTTACTGAAATTCCATACATAATAAATACATGGGAAATATATACAAATCCCATGTGAGAATTAAGATTTGATAGTTGACAGCTATCAATATTACTGTTAACTATAAAAATGCATATTTCTTAGCAGAAGTAGAGCTTCACTAGGGTTTTGTAAGTTGCTAAATGCGAATTTAGGGTCATGATTTCCAGATTGATATTGATATTGCAGATTTCCAAGAGCTTTTTAAAAATCAAGCTTTACAGTTTCTTATAAAATTTATTAACAATTATTTTTTATACAATTTATTAACAATTAATTTAAAAAAAGATTCATCTCGATCGATTAAGAATCATGATTTGTAGCGATTTTTTAACGATAAATTTTCATTTGTCCTTACTGTGCGGCGAGTCCATCGAGCAAACGCGGCGCTTCATTAAATTCGCGTTTATCACCGCGTGTACTCCCGCGGCGATAAGAAATACGGCAGCACTTCATATTCATCGCGAAGAAAAAAGAAATGATCGACTTTTCTCGCGTGAGTCGTCTCGTTTAACTGTCGATACTTGACGTAGATACGCGCTCGAACAGCCGTGTGAATTTCCGCGACTTCGATAGGAAACACGCGCTTTTCCTCGTTAATCTTTCTTTCTTTCTCTCACTCACTCATCCACTCTCTCTCTTTCTCTCTCTCTCTCTCGAAAAAAAAAAAACATATCGTCTAAGGTACGCTGTGCGCTATACCGAACTAGTCTCAGCCGCAAAAACCTAATCGCTTTGCGATACTCGCCGAGAACGTATCCGAGAAGTAAAAAAAGACATTACGTCGGCGCGCTAGACGCGGATAGTATCCCCAGGAAAATCATTCTCGTACGCGACTTCGGAAAACGATTATCGCGTCGCCGCCGCCGCCACCACCACCACCACAGCCGCCACCATCACCTCCCCTCAAGTCGCTCGCCCTCTCCGCCCTTGGCCACCCCTAGATGCCTGAAAAATTTGAGTTTGGTTGTCTATATACATATATACATATATATATATATATATATCTCCTGCCAACATGCTTTACTTCTCTTCTCCATTCTTAACTCTCACAAAGGTGGACTGGCTCGAGAACGGATTGAAAGATCACGAGACTGAAGTGCTATGCTGTAAAAAATCTTTTAGGCCAGCGAACAACCAGCTCGATGTTTTCCTTTTTTTTCTTTCTTTTCGATTGGCCGTAAACCCTCGCCCTTGCCCTCGCCCTTGCCCTCGCCTTCGCGCTCCTCCAACTTGCTCCCGCCGTTCGATTGACCCCTTTGTGAGATGAACAGTAAATGTGTGTGTACATACATATATATAGAATTTTTCCGAGAGAGATGTCTGCATACAAAAAACACGTGTACAAGCGTCCACGATGCTCTTTAAAGCGAAGGGAAATTGATTTTGCACCGACTCGCACGCACCACCACCGACTGTCAGTGTCCTCTTGTCATGGTGTTCAATTAGGCTGTAAATAGCGGATTTCTCATTGGCAGAACTCTGTTCTCCTTTCCTGGCGCGTTCTCGAGAAGCGAATTATTTCGCTCTTGTCGTCCTCTGACTACGAAACTGCCATGACGCATCGTTGCGAATCCACAAGTGATCCCGCCGAAAAATGATTGGAATTTCTGCTCGGCTATACCGCAGCTTTATTCGGATGATCGGACGGTAATCCGTTATGTAGTGTTTGCAAAACGATAACGCACCGCGGACGCGCTGTTCGCATCTATGTAAAGAGCGATCGTTGCTGTTGGACAATTCGAGCGTGATACCGCGTGTCTTTTTGTCCCGGAATGCCGTTATTCAATATGTGACGGTATACAAGGTGTTGCATCAACATACAGGTCAATATGACGGCTTGCCTACTCGCAGGCGTACGTTGTCAGGCTTTAGCACGGACTTGGCAGTATAGTTCGCTCGCAAGACGTTTTGCGCACACTTTTTCATATCCTTCTATTGGCAAGAATAAACCGTTTCGCGATCGCCAAGTTCCTGCTGAGTCTGTATTCGAGCGTACGCACGCCTGCCAGCGAACAGTCATACCGACTTGCATATAAAAGCGACACCCCGTACGTTGGATTAGTTTTACGATTTAATCAACTTCCAGCTCGTGAATCTATAATTGCCGAGTGATTAATTCCTAATTAGGCCATCGCTCCAGAATTCATTAAAAATATTAGTGTTATCGGCGCACGCGCGATTGAATACGCGCGCTGACGTGTAGTCATTGAGCGTTCGCGCGATGCCAAAGTGGCCGACAAAATCGACCGGGTATCGATCTCGCGAAATTAGTTTCACGCTTCGTGTAAGAGGAACAGAGCTCTGGCAGCCTAGAAAACGGATTGTATATAGTAGATTTTGTAATTTTTTTCTCATCATCCGTGGTGGACGAAAGGGCTGATCGCGACCAGCCGGTCCCCCGATTGGCCAGAATGAAATTCACCCCATCGTATATTCCATCCTTTACTTTTCTCTTTCTCTCTTTCTCTCTTTCACTCTCTCTCTTTTGCCGTCCCCACTCTCTCCCTTTCTCGTAATTCGCGCAAGTGGGAGAAATTAGAATGGAAAAAAGGAAAAAAGAAAAGAACAAAATGAGGCCACAAACGCGTTTCCTAAGAAGAAAGGGAGAGAATCCGACAAGTGGCTTTCGTAGAAAAGCTTCACTCCTGAAGAAGCTGTTCCAGCAAAGTAGCATTACCAGTAAGAGCGACAGAGATACTTTTGGAAACGAAGACTATTCATGATGACGACTGTGGCGAGACGAATCGACTGTGTATTGTTACATGGACGTGTAATCCGTTCCGGCCTACTACGCGCGATTTCTCCGTTTGTTTATGAGAATTATCTGCGATGGATTTTGCGGATACATTCGTCGGACACTACTACGGAAACATTTTCGCCTTGTCTACGCTCGATCTCTATATGTCGCATTCAAAAGTGTCCGTCCGCCGTGTAAATCGCAAATCTTTATCGCCCTGTTAAGCTCGACAAAACATCGCCGTTTCTTTGTCTGCTTTCTTTTCTTATTTTTCTTTGTATAACAATTATTATTCACGGTACTATCGATTTCCTCGAATCCCGTGTAAATCGCGTTATCCTTCTCTCTCCCCCTCCTCTATCCCTTTCTCTCTCTCTCTTTCTCTTTTTTCTCGCCGCGAGCAGTCGATTAAAGAGACTTCCAATCGCGACGCGCATTACTTTTTCGTGTTTTCACTCGTCGAGAAGCTAAGAAGAATAAACTTATCTCGCCGACTCGAAGATCCCGCGATTACTACATTCTCGCCATTACTGATTACCGAGTGATGCTCGTCGGTGAGCTGATTCCCACGAAAATTCTCGCTCCCCGTCGAGCTCCACAGAATTTTCGAGAACGTTTGTGAAGTGCATCGTAAGTTTTCACAGCAGCAAGACTATTTTACACCTTCCGCCTTTTCCCGTATTAATCTCTTGATTACTATCTTCTCCATTGTCACCTGTCACCTTGCCCTTCTTCCCTGCCTCGAGCTTCCCACAGACCTTTCATCATTTTTCCACAATGGTCCATTCGCGCGTCTTCCATTGCGAAACCACTCCTCCATTCCGGAACCATCGCCATCAGCCGCTATTGCAGTTAATCCGCAAGCCAATTTACTGTCAATCTCGACATGTCGAGTGGCCAGCCGACTGAATATATCCGCGCACTTACTCAATGTGTGGTAACCCCTTTCTCTCTTTCTCTCTATCTCTACTCTACTCTACTCTCTTGCCTGCTTTTGCCACGCAGGACGCATGTGATTTGATTCTCCTGTTCGTTTCTTCTTTCAGTTTTCTTTTCGATTAACCGTTTGTGTGGCACGATTGTTATGTCGTTGACGTGAGTCCACTAACCCGCGTTTCCATCGAGTTTCTCTTACTTCTCGTGCGCGAGAATCATTATTGTACGACTTTCTTTTGGTTTCTTTTCCCTTCCCTTGTTTTGAAACGAGTAGCTGGACTTTCGTAAAGTACACTCTCGCGAGAAGGGACACGTTCGCACTCCTTCCGATCGCGTCCAATCGAAAATATGTCCCGCGAGCGTGTGATTGACCGAAGACGCGAAAGCTGGCCGAACGTTCATCCAAAACTATATTTTTGTCGCGCATTCAGCGCGAAGGGAATGTATTAAATGTCACTGCTTACGTTGCTCTAAGCGTGATTTTATATTATTAAACGCGTAGAACGCGTTTTTTAACGAATACGTTGCATCACATCGCACGTTGGACATATTCCGAGAGAGCGTTAACTTCTTTTATTTTTTGTAGAGAGATCATTAAAGTACACACGCATGAAATCAAATTTTCGTCACATCGATATGCAATGAATATTAATAAAAGTATTCGATCACGTGCAGATCGCGGACTTGAACAGCCAGGTCAACGATCTCCGAGGTAAATTGTAAGTATCTAGTGTATATTATATATGATACTGCAAAATATATCAATCAAAGCAACGAGTTAAACGATCTTAATCTTAGGACACACTAACTGTTATAATTTTTTCGACAAAATTTGAATATTTTTTTAATCTCTTGTTTGAGAAAAAGTGGCTCAAAAAAGTAAGGCGATTATAATTTTACTTCGTTTTCCTACCGGACGGAATTACTTCTATTAAACGATTAGATCAAGTTTCTTGTTAATTGAAAAAAACATCTACACCATATATATATAACTGCATAGTTTATATTAAAAATTACTCTGTCGAATTTAATAACCGAGGAAAACGTTATTCTGTTTTACTCTATTATTTTTCCATTCCGTATACACTATTTATGGTTTAGGAGAATTGAAGTTTACTAAGAAATTTATCAGTTTTCTAAATTTACTATATTCCTTAGCGAAAGAAATTACTGCTGCTAAGTTTGCTGACAGTCTATTCTTGTACTATTAGAAAACATGTGGTAACATTCAAAAGAGGTATCTTCGTTTTTAGCATGAAACCAACCCTCAAGAAGGTGTCGAAATACGAGAATAAGTTCGCCAAGCTCCAGAAGAAGGCCGCCGAATTTAACTTCCGCAATCAACTGAAACAAGTGAAGAAGAAGGAGTTCACCTTGGAGGAGGAGGACAAGGAGGTAAGAGTGATCGTTTTCGATCGGGACTGCGCAGGACACGAATTTCTTTTCCTGCAAATTATTTTTCCCCTGCCCGTCGAGGTCTATCTGCGAGAGCGTTCCTCAAATTTATCGAGACAGAGACAATTCTGCAAAAGTACAAGACGATGTTCTTTTGCACACTCTCGGTGTCGTAGTTCCTCGCTTGCGTTTACGTCAATAATATTCGCGAAAATCGAATTCCTACGAGTCTTGTATTTCTGAGAATTTGATCTCGTTTGATAAATTCCTTAGCAATTTTTGGATTTTGCAAAGAGACGCAGATTTTTGACGACCGCACGACGGGTAGTCAGTACCACAGTATAGTCAGTACCACAGTATAGTAGTACAATACACAGCGTTTTATCAGTGAAAAAACAGTTTTTGTGACCCTGGTTTTCTTTTTGTGTATAAAACCCAATCGGCAGGTTTTCTTCGTATCAGTAGTTTTCCGTTTAGTGTACCGTGTCCAATTTAGGAGATCCGCATTTTTCGCTCTTGTTTGCATTTCGATATTGTCGGTCCCGGTCCTGGTAAAATATTTGTCGCGTCATTCCTCTGCCTCAGGGAATACTATTTTATCAGTCAATTTGGATGCTAAATTTCTCGAAAATCTCGTGCGCGGCGGATAATCACGCGATAATTAATCATCGGTTCATCGAACCGCGCAAAACTTTCGGCAAAATTTATGAGGGCGTTGTCATTCCGGGGCCGTTGAATTCGCGCAAATCGATTAACCGCGAAACCGTATCGTCGTCCGACCATCAGCGTCCCGCGACGCGCATTTGTTTGGAACGCTGATATGCCGGGGGTTGAGTGGTTTCTCTCCCCCGTGGGCGTGATCTCCTCAAAAGGACCGTTAGTAGTAGATCCTTTTTCGTATACGTATCCTACTGGTAGTAGTGGTAGTAGTAGTTGACTAGGCAATCTGTGTTGTTCTTCACAGCCCAAGAAGTCCGAGAAGGCAGAGTGGCAGACCAAGAAGTAGATTTAATAATAAGAAAAGAGAAACAAACAAAACAAAGAAAACAATAAAATCACGATAGTAATAACGAAACGTCAATAAAAATAAAAGTCTGAGTGTGAAACGCCAGTAAAGCAGAAAGATTGTTATTACAACACCCGGAAAAATGATTCGAGACAAAGCCGAGGAAGCCGCGAAATTTTCGGTACACACACACACACGCGTACCACACCTTTCGGAAAGACACTCACATTCACCCACTCATACACGTAGGTTCGTGTTCTGCACACTCGCATAAACACGAATAAACCTTATTATACGCTGATAAAAGGCGCGTTAGGAGGGAAAAAAGAGAAGAATAGAAAACGAGCGCGTAAGCACGCGTAAGAACACTTTTGATACCGTTTCTATTTTTTTCGATGTTCTGTTCGCCGGCGCGCATTTCTCCTTGCCGTCACGTTCGTTTGAGAATTGTCGGCGCAATTTCAAGTTCGTTAGCGCCGCGGTACGTATTAACTGAGAGCGACAGCGGAAAATCGCGCGAACACAATCCCAAGGGAGTTAGCTTCGCGATATTTGATCATATCCCTCTTTCCGAGCCAGACAGTCGAAACGAGCGACGCGCGCGTGCGCGCATACACATATACACACAACACACATATATACACATACGCAATACTTGCAAACGGTGAGAGGGAGAAGCTGACTCTGTGTTGAATATTCACGTACAACTGTTATACAAAAGCGACAAGTTGGTGGCAATAAACGATCGAAGAAAGCTCACGTGAACAAGACAGGTGTTTCCGCCCCTCCCCCTCCCCCGTCTCTGCTTCCCCCAACCGCGCCGCGCTTCTTTCGTTGCATTATCGTCCGTTCAACGAGTTTCCATCTCTCCCCTTCCGTCTTCCACATGGGAAATTCTCGGGATTTAATTGGAATTCAGTCAAATTCCTCAAAATATGAGTTCTAATTAGAAGTGTAATATTACAAATATGCGACTTTAAGTGAGAAATTTAAAGATTTCCTTATATTTTATCTTTATTTTACATCTTACATCTTACATCTTACATCTTTATTTTACATTAGCATCGAACGAAATATATATTGACTTGCCAAATAATTTCATTACTCAATAAAATATTCAGTGTTTTAGAAATTTTTCTTTCATATATACAAGGTGTTCCAGAATAACCTTGGAGCTCTTGTGAAGGCATAGTACGAATTGAAGTGAATATAAAAGTCCTATACCGTTTTGTGATATTCGCAATAATTATCGAGATATTATTTAAAGAAAATTTGTGAATGGTTACGCGATATATGATAAATGAGCTGTAGTGGCGACGTCTGCCATAGTGTGTTTCTTTTTCTATTTTCCTAATTACTTTGTAAATTTTTAATTATTAATTAAAAAAGTTTGGTCGCTCGCGATAATATATTAATATTATTAAATTAATAACTAAAAAGTTATTACAAAGTTATTAGGAAAATAGTAGAGGACATTTTTGTTCAGTTTGACCTAATGTACAAGCACACAATGGCAGATATCGCCACTACAGCCCATCTATCAATCTACATATCACTTACATAATCATTCATAAATCTTCTTCAATTAATATCTCGGTAATTATTGCGAATATTGCAAAATACTATTAGATCTTTTATGTTCATCTTAATCCGTACTATGTCTCCACAAGAGCTTCAAAGATTGTTCTGAAACATCCTGTATATGTATCTTTTTTTAAATGTATGTAATATTATATTACATATCTTATATAATGTTTCCTTATATTTTTTATTCTATCAAATATATACACAATAATTGCTATAAAAATAAGATTCTTTGTTCAATACCACAAAAATATACCGACGATGGAAAAAAGCACGAGTTTCCATAATGTTTCTGTTTCGATCCTAAATAAAGAACTCATGCTTGTGGCATAAGAATGGGATTCCTAATTGGTATCGTAGAAGGATAACTAGTTTCGGGATAAATTTTGGTGTTCCAATCGGACTCTATGCTGTATCTGGGAAAACCTTGAGAAATCTTTAAACGGGTATTTCGATCACATGTTCTGTCGTTCTTTTTATATTTTTTTCACTTTTCCATTTATTTTAGCGGTTTTAATCTCTACTTCTCTCCTCCACCGGGATTATTCGGTATTACGGATCGCACTTGACTTTTCTATTATTTTCTGTTATTTTTTTCCCTTGTCGTCGCGTCTCGTGATCGGACGCGGGACTCGATAACTGAAATTGGCCCCGATTCTTTTCGTGCCGGATAATGGAAATGCCCGTGTACGAGAATGTTAATGCAATCGACAAAGCGTCGTATGTTTTATGCAGAATTAGATGCGCGATTTTTTGCCCAGTACTGCGCAATAGTCCGCGCTTACATTTCCCTCTGTCGTGAGATAAAAGAAATTCCCTCAGACGATGTTATACGCGAACGCGCATTTCAAATATTCGATAAGGAAAAAGGTCGAGTGTTATCGAGGACCGTATCGTTTCTTTCTTTCTCTTTCTCTCTCTCCTTCTCCCTCCCTCTCGTAAAACTTTGCTAATTCCTCTTGTCTCGGAGGCATCGTTTAATTTCCTTTATCTCCCTCTTCCTTTTTCTTTTACTTTTTGCTTCTCTGACATATCACTGCGAGTGAAGTACCGTCCAATTTGTTTTCGGCGGCCGTAACTTTATTTTTTTTTTTATCTCGCGCGTTACCTAAGCCCCGGCTTCGTTTCGCGTAGTTTCGCGAAAAATCTTCGCGGTGGTGGTATATGTCCGCCGACAACGCGCGGCAGTAAATAAAGTATAAGATTAAGAGGGGTGTAAAAAGGTGAGAATGGCTTGTGAAATATATATATATATATATTTGAAACTCACACAATTCCACTTTTTTTTCTTACGTAATGGCAGAAGCGCTTTTACTCACACACATGCCTGCCCACGGTTTTTTTCTTCTACTCTTCACCATCTAATTATACTGTGCTGCCTTCCGTTTCTTTTCGCGCACTCGTCTCGTTTATTTTCGCTTTACACGTGTTTTAATTGCCACGCAAGATCGTTCGTCCGGCGAACGTTTTTGTCGCGTGCTGTGCAAAATGTCAAACGAAAATAAAAAGAAGGGAAAAGATAGAAAAAAAAGACAAGAAGAGTAATACAAGCACGACAGACAAAAGAAAGACAAGAAGGAAAGAAAACAAGAAGCAAGACCAAAACACACACTCTTTGAAACTAAGGTCATTTGATTACGTAACGAAGCTCTTTTGCAGCTTGCCTCATCGCCAACACTCGGCTCTGCCATGCTTTTTTCAGACTGCATATATGTGTAGGATTGTTGCTCTCTATCTTTCTGTTTGTTTACGATTACGTGAACGTGTATTGATGTGCTTGAAAATTCTTTTCGTTATCGTGCTTCCTCTTGTCATATATACATAATCACACTGCGTTATGCATGTCTTACTATTATAATTAGGGTTACTTGTATGATTTTCAGCGCATTTATAATGGTCGCAATGTCAGTTGCGACATTCGTTGCGACAATGATCGTAAACTCATAACGTGAACTTGCTGCAACAGCCGATCATTAATACAGATTTATAGCATTGACGCTTCTGATTGATTGTGTGTTGCAACTTTAGACATATTCACGCCACGAGTTTGCAATTATCGCTACGATTGCGATCGATATTGTGACAATTGTCTTTATTTGAGTAGAAATTTTAGCCCTATTTTTTACTTGAACTTCCTAACATTTGTATATTCTGAAGGATCAGTATATGTTTAATACAGATGGGAACTAAAGCCTTACTTAACGTCTCTAAATGGCAAAAATGTATAAAATATCATTTGTAGATGCGAAAGAAAATCTCTCAGCGAAATTAATTCGTTAATCAAAAGAGATTGCAACAGTTTTCAGGATATCAAAATAAATATTAAAGAATATTGAACGTAGTATCAAAATTTCAACTCGAATACATATTACGTAGAAGATTGAAAATCATATAAGCAATCATAGTTACGATGGCGCAGAGATCCGACATCATATATGTTTGATTATCTGAACTGGAGCTATCTGTACGATTTTCAACATTACTCTTATTACATACACCGAAAAAACTGTATAGTTGGTCTACACATAAATCTAGTCGTATCAACAAGATACAATAGTAAAATAGAGGACAACTAATTATGCCATTGCAATTACAAAGCAATTACTGATGTTGCAGCAGCAACGATATCTAGTTGCTCCAACCAGAGTATATCCACAGCAAATGTTATCCCAACCGATTGCAGAACTAGATCACGCGCAACTACATTAATGTAGTTGATAACTACAAAGTAGCTAAGTCATATCATAACGCGAAGATAACTAGGGTGATACAACTACGCTGCTCACAACTAAAATTTTCTGGTTATATGCACCATATCTCTTTTTTCGGTGTAGAAGATTGAAAATCGTACAAGAAAGTTCAAATACAACGATGAGATATAAATGACGCAGTGTGTACACCCGGCATCACGAATATATCTGACTATTACAGTTAAGATTACTTGTTAACTTGCTATTAAGCAATTAAGATTACTATTATAATTTCTAAACATATAAACATAAAGAAAATCGTATAAATAATCCTGATTATAATGGTAATATATATATGATCCTAATTATAATAATAAGAGACATATATGACACAGACAATGTACAATCGAGGAATGTCTCTTAGAGCACATCAATATACGTGATGACCGTCGATCGTGGCTGGCACATCATGAAGCACGCGAGCCACGAATGCGACGCGTTATTCGTTAAGTAATATTTAAATGTACGCTTAATCAGTGTGCCTATATGTCTTCTATGTCGACTAATAATATTGCTCTTGCGTTATGTTCGCAGAACGTGACAAAAGATAAGGTAAAACTTTAACAGCCAATTTGTAGCTCAGCATGCCTGCGTAAAAGTGAATGATATGTGTTGCGTAATAGATATATGTGTGTGTAATAGATAAGAATAGATAAAAGGGAAGATAGATTCCGTGCGTGCCTGCGTGCGCGTGCATATGAGTGCCAAGTGGGAGAACGGAGAGCATTACGGGCGGAAGAGAAGTTCTCTTCATTTTTAACACGTTGAAATAACGCCGCCGATTAGACGCGAAATTTTCTTCAGTGTTTTGTCTACGTCGCGCGCAGGCGCGCTCATTAATTTCCTCGCAATTTTTGGCCACACACTTCTTTTCAGCAACACTTTTAAGCGAGCGCTCACTACCTCGCTATTTTCCTCGCCGTGATCTCTTTCTGTATGTATTTTTTTTCCCGCGGTGTTGCGGACTTGTCGCCGTTTTACATTTCACTAACAGCCTTGCACGGCTTCGTAGACGCTCGGAGAGCCGAGCACGCAGCAACGAGTCGACTTGACGACTTGAGAATTCGTTGAGAATGTCGCGAGAGGAATTTTTCGGTAGCGAGAGATCCGGTGGGGAAATTGCCGCGATCCCCGATGTAGCAGAAGCGCGCGGCACTCGGGGAGGAATTGTCGCGGCGACGCAATTTGTTGCGACAACCACGAGAGCGCGAAGCTATTTTTGTCTAGATCGTAGAATTTTGGCGTATACACGTCCCCCATCCCCTAGATCGCACAGCAACTCTGTTCGTTTTCAAGTTTTCAGCCACCCCCTGCCCCTCAGCACAGCCAACGCCAACACCCCAGGCTTTGCGAGCGTTCACATCTCCTCCCTCCCCCCCTCTCCATGCTCGCTAACCAGTGTGCGAGTCTAATTCGAACGTATAATGAGCTCACGCCGTTGTATTTCACGCAACGTTTCTTCGATTTTGCAGAAGAAGCCAGACTGGTCGAAGAAGGGCGACGAGAAGAAGGTAAAGGAAGAAGAAGCGGCACCACCGACCCCGGTTGAGGCATGAAAGAGAGAGAGAGTTGACAATCGTTCCCGAGACGTTCCCGAGTAATCGTCATCATCGTCGTCCCAACAACGATCAACGTCCGACATCCAGAGAATGTCGTCCGCTGTCAATAACCGCCACCGACGCGACAACTCCGCACGGAACACCTTCCTCCTGTTCTTTCTCTGTCTCTCTCACTTTCTTGATTTTTTCTTCTTTTTTTTTGTAACAATTCGTCAATCGAGCGATTCATTAATTCAATATCCCGCTGTCGTGTGAGTTGCACGCAAAAAATCTTGCTCGTCTGTCTGTCTGTTCGTCCGTCCATCCGTCACGATTGCTCGTGTACATCCCAGGATTGTATCGAAATTTTATGACACCCAATATCCGATCCGTGGCTCACTCTACTCGCGCCCGAATTTATGTTTTATTCTTTTTTTTATGGACACGACGTATTTTTCTTGTCTCCTTTTATTTTTGTAATAGATCTTGTAAAAATCACATCGTAGAGCCGCGAGTTGCGTGCGAAATCCGCGAGACCGGATCTGTCCCTCCCCGCGAAATCGAACCGCGATGGAAGATATGCAATGTAACGGTAACAACGGGGAGGGGGGAGATGTTACCTTAGTAAACTAAGGTTTATTGTAAAACAAAATACTTAACGATACTCAAAACCTTCTGTGTGTGATCATTTTCCTATGTTCTCTTCTCTTTCTCTCTCTCTCTCTCTTCTTTTTCATATTTTCCCTTTATGTTCCACTTGTGACGATTTACGTTTTAACCCATGGTATAAGTGTAACAAGATAATGTACGATGTTTTATATGTGCGATAATCATTGTTTACTGTCGTTTATACATTTTTCCAAGCGAGTGAACGATGTAGTATATGTAATAATCGACCGAAAGAGAGACTAACTGATTCTTAGCCATAAAATTGTGAGAAATATAACTCCTTTCAATCATCTCTTAATCGTTCGAGCAGATTCATTATTACGAGAATATTTGCGAAAATCCAATCGATCATCTCCAATGCCGGTTGAAGTAATATCGCGACACGAGGAGACAATTAACAAAAGACATTCAGCTTTCGGTAAATTTTTATCCTTACGCGTTTCGTTGACTTTCGAGGAGGATCTAACGGAAAATTAGTGAAAAATGCATAGGAATATTTCTCGCGGATACCAAAAAATTGGTCGATAAGAATAATACCGAGAGCTCTTTGATTTGCAGATAAGCCAATATCCAGTAACACGGTAGGTATGTCACTAACCGGATTTCGCTTCATAACTATTCGCTACTGAGTGACGCTTTCGACACAGCTTTATCACGTTCGCTATAATAAACACAGGCTCTTAGGTTAAGTTAGGTTATAATAAAACATGACAGTTAATAATCCAGTATCCATGCGTCTGACACACAACGTATTATAGAACATACCTTATATATTCCGCCTACTTACGATCTACCTTATCGATGCATTACCTTATCGATCTACTCCTTTTCTTCCATCTATTCGAGGAGTGTTTCGCTCAGAGGTAATTTTTCAAAATAAAACGTTCAATATCGACGAGACACGATCAAATGATGCCGTTGTAAATTCAGTGTCAAGGTGTGTCGATCGGATTAAAACTGATCTAATATTCTAATTTTCAATCTAATTTTCGGAAGTGGTCTCTGCGCTTACTCTTTTCTGTTTAATTATGACGCCCAATTATCGTTTCTTTTGGTATTTGAGATTTTCACGATGTAGAAAAATGCTGGATTTGGATCTCGGATTGGTTCTTACAAAAATATGATTGGTCAAATCAAATTTTCTCCTTACTTCCTCTCCTCTGTTCCCGTCCCCCCTCTTCTCATCGTCCTTATCTTTACTGATTTATAAGGATATATCTATAGAAAATTTTACAATAAAAACTGTTAGGATCACTACATTTTATAGTAAAAATTACAGAATTTTGTAATCAAGGAATATAAATCGACATTCTGTCTCTCAATTTACTATCTTTCAGTTTCATATGTGCTATTTATATTTTAGAAACTAAAATATATATCAAAATTTAAGTAAAAAATTTATTATAAAACTTAATAAAGTTTATTATGTTCTTCAGCAGGATAAATTCTACTGAAACTCTCTGTTTTCGATACTTTTAGAAAAAAATGGAAAAATTGAAAAGAATTTATATATAAAAACAATTATATATACACGAAAAAGACTATGGTTAGCCCACATATAAATCCGATTGTGCTAATCAAATTCAATAGTAAAATATGGGAGAAGTAATCAAGCTACTGCAAACACAATACTATTGCTGAGTATAGTGACATCTGATTACTTCAACTAGAATGTATTCATGGTAAACGTCACTCCAATTCAATTTTAATTACGAGATCACATTTTTAATAACGAGATCACGTGAACTATATTGATATAGTTCACGTAAAAAGAGTATCATGTCAATCATATAAATCACTATTACATAAAGTAACTATGATAATACAACTATGCTGTCACAAAACTAAATATTCCTGTTCTATATACATAGCCTCTCGAAAATATACAACTTAATCATATTAAACATATATTCAGGCAAATAGGAGCTTAACGCTGATGTTGGAACAAATATTTTACTAAATGTTGGGAGGATAATAATGTTTGACAGTGTAAACGCACGTACAAAATAAGTTTTCTAGTCTCTTATAACCTAGGCGATCCAGCTTTCCAAAAGAGTCAAACCTGAAGTCTTATTCTCGAAAAATATCGCATACAATTTTCCGATGAAAAGCTATAGTATACGTAACATTATATAGCTTTTTACAGAATATCGTACCCGATATTTTTCGAGAATAAAACGCCTGGTCTTTTCTATTGCCGGGGGGAATGCCTTGCCAATTTTCCCACTAGCTTTTTCCTGGCCGAGATGGTATTTTTCGCAACTAAAATTATGAGTGAAAAAATAAGTAATCTTCTCACATAACACAAAAAGTCTAAAATCGGAATATAAGACATCCCTAAGATGTTTTTAAGACGACTTATGTCCCAATTTTAGACGTTGCGTTGTATGGGTTGATATATAATTAGGAAGGTTAATTATTATTAATATTAAAAATTGAGTTACAGGGTTGGTTTGAAGGCTAATGGAAGGTGAGTCACCGTGTACGTTATAAAAGATTGGAAAATCTATCCGGGATATATGTTTATAAGTATATCAAACATTATTATTACCTCAATATTTATTCACTCCAACATCAGCGTTTGGCTCCTACTTGCTCAAATATATGTTTAATATAATTAATTTAAGTTAAATATTTCTGGTTATATACATCATATCTTTTTCTGTTATATAATATTCTCTTCATATTCCTCACTACTGAGGAGCGTTGTTGCTACCGTTACCGATAAACTGAAATATTCATCAAAAACAAATCTGCAAGAAACGCGATACCAAGCCAGAAGCCAAATCCAGCATCTTTTCCTCGGCCGAGCTTGTCGTGATTCTGGGGATCAGTTCTCCACGTTGGCGTTTAATGCTCGCGTACAACTTGCGGTTTTCTATCGTCGCGATTCCTTTCATTCGTTTATTATTAATTATCGCGCCAATTTACGCACCGATAATAGACATTGATGTATCCAATTAAACGGCACTCCCAACAAAGCGCTATTATATTAGCTCCGAACAAACGTCCGGGCTTCCTTTTTCATCGGACGGCTCGCGTCGATTTTCAACCCGCCTGTTTATTTTGCGATTTCCCGAAACCGTTTTCCGCAATGCTGGCACGAAACGCCACCTCCCCCATCCCGCTCGTGTCGTATTCCGACACGCGTTCCAGTCCATTCGACCGTATTTATAATCGTAGCCGGGTGTCGTGCACATTGTTTAATTATCTTGACAATATTCGCGATCATATAATGACCGCGATGATTTATGGCGCGAAACGCCGTCGAGGGAAACCGATTCAGGGGCAGGAGGGAGGAAGGAAGGGAGAGGAGGGTGAAGAGAGCGCGGTCGGTGTATGTCGTAAGCTGGAGCGGGGTGGCCTGAGCGTTGCATAAAGCATTATTATCGGGAGCAGCGGGACAAATGACGTATCTATAAACGGCGGTTTAATACGACTACATTTGCGAAACGTGCGCGCTGACCGTTAATCACACAATTTAATACGCGTGTTGGTAACGGCTCGCGCAGCTGCACGTGCAATTCTGTTTTGTCCGCGAGTGCTTCCCGTGAGACGACAGTCACGTCGAGTCGTCCTGTTCCGGTTGTCGGTTGGCCGGACGTCGGACGGTCGGTCAGTCAGTTGGTGGCACGGTCGTAACGTTGTGTTCGTATTTCCAACGAGGTACCGCACGTCACTTTCATTCATGTCCCATGCAGCACAAACTTTCATGATTGTTACGACACGAGACAATCGATGACGGAAACTTTACAATTCTTTTCGTTATATTTGTGGAGCAAATATACTGTATTAAATTAATCGTTAAATTCATATCATAGAATGATGTAAATATTTTGTTACATTGAGTTAGCAACAAATCTACTAAAAACTGTACACAAATTTCCATATTACATTTTACACGACATGTTGTTTTGCATAAATTTTAATAACTTTTTGCATTTTTTCGTATTTTTATTTCGTCATTCTATGCGATAAATATCAATATTATATGATATAGGATGCAGCTTTTACAAATTGACTAGTGAAATTCCCAGATAGATTTTTATCACAATGTGAAACAATAAATGATGGAAACTTTAAAATTTTTTAAAAATTATTTTTATTGCCCCGATAGACTTCCATGACAAGCATAGTATGTGATAATTAATTTTTGTCCAATTTATAGCAACTTTACGTACATATAGAGAGTTAAATAGATTTACCTGAAATAAACTACAAATTTATGTAATGTGTGCTGTTAATTCTTCATAATAATAATGTTATTATAATAATGCTGCAATTTGTCATATATAAATATACTTCACATTTACTTCTTTATTTCAAATAAAGGAATAGTCAACTTTATGTAAATTTGATGCAAACAAATATTTATATCGATTGACATTACATAAATTTATAGTTCATTTCAGATATATTTATTTAACTCTCCATATGTACACAAAGTTGCCATAAACTGAATATTATAAAAAATTAAATATCACATACTGTGATTGTCATGAAAATCTGTGGGGAAAGAAATAAACTTGCAAGATCATACTATATTTAAGAAAGAGAGATAATCAATTTAAATTAATAAATAATTATAACATGAGGGATATATGAATAATCCTAACATGACGTAAATATAAATTAAAAAAGTAAATTGTTTTCACTTATTGCATGATGTAAATTTTAACTAAATGTGCCGTAAATTTCTAAATTTTATTATATGAATCAAATGTGCACTAAATTTTGAATACATTGATTGTCACATTGTATTGAGTAAATTTTATCGATTTTATATGTATTATTTCATCACTGTAGTCCGTAAATATGATTGCAATCTGATTAGTTATAAGGGAGTAAATATTGCTACATTTCGTAACTTAAGATACTGTAAAGTTTACGTACATCTATCTATCGGGGTGGTGTGTTTTTAGTTAATTCTAAGAGTGACTAACACGGCTGGGCTAAGTCTCCTATCCCATTAAAAATCTAACTTAACCCTAGCTTACGTCATTGTGAGAACGTTGGTTACATAAATGTGCATTTTTTAACAACCGATACAATACTGTAGGATAGAGTTAAATTTGATTTTCAATTGGAGATCTTCGCCCAGCCATGTTAGTCACTGTGTGTGTGTACTGGGATTAACTAAAAACGCACCAGTTAAAAACCGGAACAAAAAGCTATTTCGAGCTTTGACCAAAATACTTAATTGTTCCGCACATTAATCAGTTAATCCTAGAAATGCCCGTGCTATGGGCTTTGACCATATATATATATTTTTTTTGCACCGTCACAAGAATAAATTCACTTTAAACAATAGAAATATTTGTTCGTATGGGGTCAAATTCACTTTAAGTTTGAATGAGACTTACTCTCACGATTCCGAGTGGATTATTTTTATAATCACTATTATCGGTGCTATAATTTAGTCACGCGTCTCAATAAGTTATATGTAACATATAACTAATATAATTTCTTAAAAACGATTATAATTTCTTATAAACAAATAAGAAAAACAAAAGTGAATAATTAATTGCAAAAATGAATAATTAATTGCATTTGAATGCAAAATATCGGTCTTACAGTTAATAGAAAGCTAATGCAATGAGACATACATCTCGAATTACATTCATTTACTAGCTCTTTGATAATTTAAATATTAATAAAGTTTTTGTACAATCAATGGAAATCATGAAAGTCAATGTGTTAAAGAAGATAGCATTGATCAGAGTTCGGCGCGTTCTATTCGCTTTCTGCTCACCCTCGATCCTACTCCCGTTCCTTCCCTTTACTATAGGTTAGGATCATTTGCGGCTCGCTAGATGACTTTTATACTACTGACTACAGATGTAGTGATTCAATAATTTTCCACTGATATAGTCATTAGTATAAAGATCATCTAATTGACCGGAAAAAATATTATGTCGGATCGTGGTTTGATTAGGCTGCGCATTATCGTTTTCAAATATTTCAAATATTCAGTATCAAATTCATTTGATATCGAATATCTTTTATTTGATTGGCGCAAAGGTTCATCTTATCTGCCAAAAAGAATTAAAAGTAAAATTAAGCGATTTCGATGTGTTAATGACTCTTATAAATAAAATAAGTAACACATCAGTATTTTTTCATTGACATTTAACAAGGTCTTTCTGAGTTAAAATTTCGGGACTCTGTATTAATTTTGCAAACTCTGTCAAATTTTCAAAAAAAATTAATGAAGAATTTTAATATATAACGCTATACAAATTATTGTCTTATCTTGATGTTACAATATAGTTACTTACTGCCATCCTCTTCAGTTAAATATTAATGGACTTATATAAGAATTACTTGAAATTTAATTATCTCAAAAATTATTTTGCCTTTAATTTCAATAATCAATATATTGCGTTACATTAATTGTAGATATATTATTGCGGAAAACAAATATTAAATAATCTACGAATATAAGAAATAGTTAAATATAATAAAACAATAGAGTATCTTTTCAATCTGTTTCTTATCATTTTTAATTGACGTAAATTTCGATAGGATTGAGGCTTGAAAACGTGTAAAAAGAAAAAAGATATATCGGCAAAGATAATGGTTGTGCACAATTCGGCATAATCACCGATAGATATTTAAATTCCGAATTCGATGCAACAATATAAAGCTAAACAGAAACGTAAAAAAGCATGAATCAGCATCTGCGGAACTCAGAGTATATTCGAAATTTCGACTCGAATTCCTACATTTCCTCTTTAATACTCAAATCGATAACTTCATACGAGTCGGAATTTAACGGTTAAAAACGAGGAAACTTTTGCGCCAGTCTCACAAACGATATGTTGTGCATGCGGTCGACCAATAAACGCAATTCACAGAAATTCTCGTTTCGCACACAGGAAGGCGAACAAGCCGAAGCACCTGCGGCAGAACCACCACCGCCGGAACCAACACCAACACCAGAACCAGCGCCGGTCCCTGCATCGGCTCCTGCACCAGCAGAATCCGCACCGGCTCCTGCACCACCAGCACCGGCACCCTCGCTGGCACCTCCAGCCGAAGGTGCTCCGGCGGCTGTTCCCTCCGCAGAAGGTGCAGTCCCGGCTGACGGAGCTGCACCAGCTCCCACTGGTAAATTTTCACACATCAAATCGCGTCGCACTGTCTTAACCCTCAGACACAGCACTATATGCGCCACACGATTTAACAGCACATGGGTTAGTGTAACCCAACATTTTCAGTCGCATATATCTCCGGATCTAATACATAAATTTTGAAAACTTTTGAACTTTTTGAAAATGAAATAAAAATTACGTTTATAACGCAAAATAATATATAACAGCAGCAAAAAATGTTATTTTTATTAATGATATATCGTTTATTTATAGCAAATTTATTTTCTCACTATGAAGAATATTAAGACGAAATTTCGAGATTTCCTTGGTTGCTTCCAAATCAAACTTTTCTTTTTTTTAATTGCAATATTTTCCAATATTCTAATAAAAATTAAGAGAAAATATTTATCTCAGAAAGCAATATTTTATGATTGTTTCTCTTAAAATAAGCAACTAACATAAACGAAAATTAACATAAACAAAATGTATGGTTCTTTCTAATTTACCTCAGTCTCCCTTAATATTCCACTTTTCACATATATATTATATTTCATATATATATTATATAAATTCAACGTACAATATAAAGTTATTATTATTAGTATAATATCGGATTTGTAATATCGGATTGCGTAATATCAGATTTTTCACCTAAAATAAAATGGTTATATTTTTATGTTGATATAATTTTATCAATACAATATGTGCGAAAGATAGCAGAAAATTATAAACAGACAAACAGCATATATATTATTTCATAAAATTATAACTATATGAAAATACGATTATTTTATTTTATCTTTTTATAAAAGTATTTCGTTATAAAAATACAACCATTTTATTTTACCTAAAAAGGTTCGAAATTATTTATTACACAACCGAATATTATTATTATTATCGTATATGATTTTGGAAGCTTCTTCCTAAGAGTGAATGTTAACGATTGTTCATTGTATTTGTAGAAGGCGCGCCCGCAGCAACCCCAGGAGAGGGTGCCGTGCCACCTACAGAAGGAGTCGCACCAGTGGCGGAAGGAGCTGCACCCGCGGAAGGAACTGCACCTCCAGCGGAAGGTGCACCTGCTGCTGCGCCAGCTGCATCTGCCGACGGAGCGCCATCCGCTGAAGGCGCTGCACCCGTTGCCGCTCCAGCCGAAGGTGCACCCGCGGAAGGCGCTGCACCCGCTGCACCTCCAGTCGAAGGTTAACCTTTTTTGCTTTTTTCATATTTTCTACTTGCTTCCCACGTATCGATGTATGGACAATTTAAAAATATTTTTCGTTGGACGCCCAAATTGAAATTTTGTTTCTACATTAACCCTGAAAATTTCGTCGATTTTAAGAATAACAGATAAAAAATAATGATAACAATAAGTAACTTGATGGCGTACACTTTACTTATTCTAAAGAGTAAAATCGAATCATGAATATACATTCTTAACCTTTAGCTACAAAAGTGGCTTTCCCGGCAGTCTAAAGGTTAAGCATGTATCATCAAAAATTGATGGTACATGTTGAAATAAAAACATTATTAATTACAAGGGGGGGGGGAGGGGGGACATAAGTACTATCAAAAATAGAAAAGAAGATAATACCGCGTCAAGGAAGTCTTCATTGACAGATCTTATACGGTACAAATATACTAGATAATTGGAGGCACACTTATATATATAACTATGTTAATGCAAAATCAACAATATCTACCTGATTGAAAATATTGTAAAGTAACGTGATTTTTAACGTTTTTTTGAAGAAAAATATACCTGCATTGCTTATTCCTTTTATTTCGCTTAAAAAAATATGTACAATGTTTTATTGGTGAATGACTACGATATCCAGATAGCACAGAGAAATATTTCAAAAATAATTTAGTCGTATCCCAAATAAAACAGATATGCTAATTTGAAAGCTTTTAATAAAATACTAAGTTTTTTGCGCGAGGTTTGTGTTGTATTGGTTACACAGAATTACATTTATATAATGAAAAATGCACAGAAATGCATTTATATAATGAAAATATGTAGAGAAATGGATCGGAGCATTGATCAATATATGATGAAAATAATAAAAATGACAAAATTAACATCTTGAGCTGCTAGTTAGCTTAAATATTTACCGGATATAAAAATCCTGCAGCTTGCATTATGAAATGTGTGCTTGCTCCGCTCAGGAAAGTTTCAAAGAACATTGCTTTATCTTTAAAACTATATTTAGAATCTCAAAAATATACAAAAAGTTTGCAGAGAGATTTCTGTATATGCGTAGTTATGTTCTCCGTTAAGACTGTGTTCCGAAATTCACTGCCAATACTGAAAATCTATAGTTTATGTTATCTATAGAATTTCAGTGCTGGTGAATTTCGGAACACAGCCTAAATAGGATATAATAATCAGCGCACATTTATATAAAATCTCTAGATATACGTTCAAGAAATACACTCAAGAAATACACAACGAATAGTGTGATCGTATTAATGCTTATCTCACAAGACGTTTTGACAATCGCTTCTACGTTATCGACATTTTTGGAATTCATCATCCACTTTGACGTGCCCTTAATGGATAAATAAAACGACAAATTGTATTTCTCATAATATCTTTTCTTTTTAATGTTGAATATCTGGTTCAGACGAACTGAAAAGAGAAATAAAGTTGCGTATTTATAAATATAACAGTTATACGTCTAATAATAATGTGTATCAATAGAGATTTTAATTTAAATGTGGTATTATCATAAAGCTAAACAAAAGTGAAAAAATTTAAATTCTAAATTTCGATTCGGGCGTTGTTTTGTCAAACATAAAACAATACGTTAATTTATTAGTTAGGAGAGTGACGTACACGGAAAGAATTTCTGTTAAATAATATTTTTTTTTTTGGTAAAAATGGTAGGAATTAGCATATCTGTTTCGTGTAATTGAAATATATGCACATTAATGCCAACATTTATATATTATTACAGTAATTAATATTTTATTCAGATATTTTTTTAACACAATGTATAAAATCTCCCGGACTTGTCCGCAATCTTTTTCAACATTATAAATATATCCTAATCACAACAGACTAATATGGCGTTTTTCAGTTTACGTCATATTAACGTTACCCAGAAAAATACTCTCTGTGTATATGCCATACGTGTATATGTCATACATGTGTTCAGTAGAAATTAAAATATATTTTCAGCAAAGGAAAATAAAATTTTAAACGAATTTTAAGCGAATAATCGATCGGAGCGCTTTCCCCTGTTAATTTTCAATATCGTCATTTCATGTCGAGCTGCGCGTAAATGATAAATCAAGGCAGTACGTCATAATTGCAGAGCATTCCGTTCGCCGGTAATTTCAAAAAAGCTTTCTCGCGTGCTGCCCGGCTGAGCAGTTAATGCCGATCGATCAATGTCAATGTTAATCACGTTCGTTTTTGGTTCGCCGATCCCAAAAGAGATACCTTGTAAGAGGTGATTGTGATCGATCGTACATCCCCCGTGATAGAAATCATATAATCCCAGTAATACAAGCAAATTTGCAGGCGGAACCCCGGCACCGCCGGCGGAGGGAGCTGCTGCGGCTGCGCCGGCGGAAGGAGCTCCCGCAGCCGTCGAGGGCGCCGCTCCTGCTGCTCCTCCAGCGGAAGGTGCTCCACCGACGGCCGAAGGAGTCGCTGCGCCCGCCGAGGGTGCCGCACCTGCAGCTGCAGCGCCCGCAGACGCGACGCCTGCAGCTCCAGCGGAAGTTGTGCCTGCCCCTGCCGAAAGTATGTGTCAATATTTTATACACAGTAGAAATTATTTTACAGGTTACGTAACTACCTCTTGTTTTCGTTTTTCTTTTTTAATCGGGCGCTTTGATCTTTTTCTCGCACGTGAGGCTCGTGATTGTTTTCTTTTTTCTTTGAATATGAACTTTTGTTTTTTATATACAAGGTGTCTGACATAACGTCTATCCAAGGATTGTGTGCAAATAGAACTCAATGAACTAAATAAGAAAGTCCTGTACCATTTTGCGAACAGTCGTGGTAATTATTGAGATATTAATTTAAAGAGTTTGGCAAATCGTGTGCGCGATGCGGCGGAATGAGCCATATAGTGCAGTCTAAAGAGATCCCACACCAACGTAGCACAAAAATATTATATCAATATTAAATTTAATAAACTTGTAATTTGCTAACAATGGTAGCGATGTTATCATGAATTTAAAATATTACTCTCTCTCTTTTTTTCTATGGGACTTTTAATAAACTTTAAATCCAAATATATTAATATAAGGTTATTTTGCGGGGTTAAATTCATTCAGTGTCATTCAATATCATTTCAATGTCTGTCAAATAACTACCTTACCATCTTAAGGTAATGTTTTAGTAATATTAGCGTGTTGCTCTCTGATAGCGAAAATAATTACAATATTGTATTTCCACATAAAAATATTTAATTTATTGAGATATTATAACTACATTTTAGTAATAATAATATTGATTTTGATGGTTCAAGTAACAACTGTCAATTTAGACGTGCGGTCCAGGATTACGCTGACGTGAAACTGAATCGCATTGTTTGTTGCTCGCAATGTTCTATTACGTTTTTTATTTTTTCTACGTTTCACGCTGCTTCTCGCTGCCCGCCGACATTCATCGACATTTATTAGAAGACAATCAACAAGCCCAATATATGTTTCTTTAAACCGCTTTATCTAGTTCATTCTATTACGTACACTGATTCGTCAATTTTATTTTATCTTATTTTATTTAAACTTCCATGTCTCGATTCTTTTTTATTTTTAAAAGATGATTTAACATAAGAACGTCAAACATTAATTTCGATTATGTAAATTAATAGCCAAATTTATAAATATTTAATTATTTTTAAATAATATGCTCTCTAGTGTAAGAAATAGGAATTAATAACTATTATGAACAGATCGTGTTTAAGGATAATATACCCGAATTGAAATTTTAGTTCTACTTTTGACCTGTATTTTTTAACATCTTCATATTCTAAAGAAATAGTGTGTATATATATATATATATATATATATATATATATATATATATATATATATATATATATGGAAACTGAGTTTCTACTTAACGCCTTTAAATTATAGGAAATATACAAAATTCTAAACCATTTCTAAAGGTTTTAAAGGTTCTAAAGAGGAGTTCTTGATAAAGTTAGTAGGTCAAATAGAATCAAAAACATTTTTATAAATTTCAGAATATCAAAGTAAGTTAAATGAAATTTTAATCAGAAGTAGAATAAAAAATTCAGAGGTAAATATCAGAAAAAACAATTTAATCTTAAAGTGATAAATATATCTGTCAATCATGTAACGAGGTTTTTCTTTTCTTTTGGAATTATGGTGAATATTTATTCATGGTTATATTCCTTATATTTTATCTATAATGTTCGAATTAGAAAAGAAAAACTGAACGTATCTAAACGCACACATATGTACCAGTATCCCTGAAAAGATTAAGGTCATAATGACACATAGTGGTAGACAAACAGAAATAGGCTTTAAATGTCTAAATATATGGGTAACTTTCGAAAATTATATGGCGTAATAGAGGGCTAATTAATATCTCAATATTCACATAGTGCTTTTGTGAAAAATGGTATAGAATGTTTTTATTAGATAGTATAGAATTTTTAGTTAGATGAGCTGTATCCGCACTCGAGCGTTGATACACGTTGTATCAGATACCTTGTATATACAGGATATCCGAAAATTCGTTATGCAACCATGTATATGCACTCAAACTGAGAACACAATCATTTCCCTACCATTCGTAAACAAATTTTGAATTATTAATCGAAGAAGATTGATGAATGATGCGCTCGATTCGGTAAATGAGCTATAATGGCGACGTCTGTCGTGCTTGCATATTGTCAAACTGAATAGTTTTCTACGTTTGTCCTTTACATTTGCAAATGACCACGTAGGTTTCTAGTTATTAATTAAAGAAAATTAACTTTATGATCGTCCGCGATAATATGTCGATTTTCTTTAATTAATGACTAAAAATCTACATGATTATTTAGAAAATAGTACAGGAGTATTTTGTTCAGTTTGATCTAATGTGCCAGCATACGACGGCAGATATGGCTATCACAGTTCGTTTACCGTGATGGCGCGTGATCATTCAATCTTCTTTGATTGATAACTGAAAATTTTACGTAATCGTTTGCGAAATGGTAGAGGAATTTTATGTTCAGTTTGATGAGTTCTATCTATACATCACTGCTGCGTAACAAATCGGACATCCTGTATATTTTTAAACGTAAATTTTTCAGTATATTTTTACATCTCTAGAGGAAAGGAAAGGGAAAAAGACTCGCGACGTTAGGATTTTTCAATCGCCAGCGGTGAACTTCGCCTGGCGAGATCGGCACCTATTAATTTTGCGCTTTTAACTTAATTTTTAGCTAAGCTAATTTTGATATTGCGAGTTACGGTCCGCATCAGAGGCAGACCCGCGCTAAAGTGCGCGAGGTACATCACAAACGGTATGTCGAAAATCAACATAGCAAGCAAGCATAGAAACGGCAACTAAAAACCAACCGAATCTCTCATCCGACGGACTGAACAGATCTAATCCGTCGCGCCGCTGACGCAACACGGTCAGTCGGCGAGTGGACTAATTATAGCCGACTAATTGCGCGATAATGTATCACCACAGTAATCAGACGTCATCAGTGTCGTCATGATCCGCGTTACCGCGGTTCACCCATGCTTCGATTTTGAGGGAGAGATTCGACGAGAGCTGCTCCTCGACCCGCTATCGACTTATCATTAGCCCTAGTTTGCAATTCCGCGCTCTCACAGTCTTCACCATGGCCTCGCTCCACGATGTTAATGCATTCTCTTTCTCTGTTTTTTTTCCTCTCGCATAGCACCCGCATCGTAACTTCGCCGGAGCTGCAGGAGGCGGCGAAGAGTCACCTTGCCGTACACTTTTCTCTTGTTGACGTCAAAGTTTACGGAACACCTGCACGGAAGACACTAAAGTACGGATACGTTGCGCGAAGCCGCGCCACACGTCTCGACATCGCGGCTCGCGCTTTTCTTCTCGTCGTCATCATCGTCATCATCACCACTCGTCATCGTCATCGTTCTCATCGTCATCGTTACCGTCACCTCCACCTCATCGCTTTTCGTCGTCGTCGTTGTCGTCGTCTCCGTCGCTCGCGTCTTGCATATTTATTCATTCATACATAACGAAAATTCGTGCGTGCCGCGTAACGGTTTAGAGGAGAAGAGAAAAGAGAAAAAGTGGTGAGAGGGGGGGGGGGGGGGGAA